GCTTTGTAGGATAATTCTGTTATTAGGAGCTGTATGTTGAAGTATTTAAGCTTGAAGTATCTTTGAAGTGTCTGCTACTTACTTTCAAACAGTTCAACACACACACAAAGAGACAAAGCAGATATGGCAAAATGTTAGTAACTGGTAAATCCCGATTAAGGACATATTAGTATGCATTGTACTCTTAACTTTTCTATGGGTTTGAAATTTTTCAAAATAAAAAGTGGAAAGTAAAAAGTACAAAAGAGAGAGGCAGACACATACAGGAAGTGTGATAGTAACAAAGCAAGGCTGACCCCTTTCCCCAGCTTCCAAACTATATGTTCCAAACATATACCAGTTGACCCTTGAACAACATGGGTTGGAACTGCACAGATCCGCTTACACAGGGCTTTTCTTCCTCTTCTGCCACCCCTGAGACAGCAAGACCAAACCCTCCCCTTTCTTCCCCTCCTCCTTGGTCTATTCAACATGAAAATGCCAAGGGTAAAGACCTTTATGATGAACCGCTTCCACTTAATGAATAGTAAATATATTTTCTCTTCCTTATGATTTTCTTAACATATTTTCTTTTCTCTAACTTACTTTATTGTAAGAATATAGTATATGATACATATAACATATAAAATACGTGTTAATCGGCTGTTTATGTTATTGGTAAGACTCCCAGTTAACAGTAGGCTATTAGTAGTTAAGTTCTCGGGGAGAGAAAAGTGACGTACGAATTTTTGACTGGAGGGTAGGTAGGCGCTCGTAACCCCTGAGTGGTTCAAGGGCCTACTATATGTGCAAATCAATTGTTTGGCACCTTGAATGCGTGTTCTCTTTCTCTTATTTATAACCATCTGTCTTTAAAACTGCGATCAGAACTGCAATTTAGTGTTGAAGAAATACACCTTTCGAGGCCGGGCACGGTGGCTCACGCTTGTAATCCCAGCACTTTGGGAGGCCGAAGCAGGTGGATCACCTGAGGTCGGGAGTTCAAGACCAGCCTGACCAACATGGAGAAACCCTGTCTCTACTAAAACTACAAAATTAGCCGGGGTGGTGGCGCATGCCTGTAATCCCAGCTACTCGGGAGGCTGAGGCAGGAGAATCGCTTGAACCCGGGAGGCGGAGGTTGCGGTGAGCCGAGATCGCGCCATTGCACTCCAGCTTGGGCAAAAAGAATGAAACTCTGTCTCAAAAAAAAAAAAAGAAATACACCTTTCGGCTGGGCGCTGTGGCTCATGCCTGTAATCCCAGCACTTCGGGAGGCTAAGGCAGGGGGATCACTTAAAGTCAGGAGTTCAAGACCAGCCTGGCCAACATGGTGAAACCCCATCTCTACTAAAAATACAAAAAAAAATTAGCTGGGCATGGTGGCAGCCACCTGTAATCCAAGCTACTTGGGAGGCTGAGGCAGGAGAATCGCTTAAACCCAGGAAGTGGAGGTTGCAGTGAGCCGAGATTGCGCCACTGAACTCCAGCCTGGGCAGCAGAGCGAGACTGTGTCTCAAGAAAATAAGAAGAGAAGAGAAGAGAAGAAAAGAAAGGGAAAAAAAGAAATACTCCTCTCATCCCCATCAAAGAAATGATTACTACTTTGAGAAGTGTGACTTTCAGGGATTTGCTAATCTTCCCTCTTAAATCTTAACTCCCCACCTTTCTGATTTTGGAAGCTAAGAGTAGTTCCTTTCACAGATGATCAGGAGCAAAGTCAAAATTTTGAAGGAAAAATTTACTTTTTTTCTGTTTTCTTCTAGACTAGACATGCTGGCTGCTTATATAAGTTAAATAATTATAAATTGGTCACATAGTTAAGTGACCAAAGTGCAAATATAATATAAATGCTACAGGCCAGGCACGGTGGCTCACACCTGTAATCCCAACACTTTGGGAGGCCAAGGCGGGTGGATCACAAGATCAGGAGTTTGAGACCAGCCTGGCCAACATGGTAAACCCTGTCTCTACTAAAAATACAAAACTTAGCCAGGCGTAGTGGCACATGCCTGTAATCCCAGTTACTTGGGAGGCTGAGGCAGGAGAATCACTTTAACCCGGGAGGCAGAAGTCACGGTGAACCAAACTTGCACCATTGTACTCCAGCCTGGGTGACAAGAGCAAGACTCCGTATAAATGCTACAGGTGACCAATAAAGGCTGTAATAATAAGGGAAATGTTTATAAATAAGTAGATATTTAAGTCAGGCCTTGAAGCACCATTTCTCAAAGTACCATTTCTCAAAGTGGAATCTGGCCTAGCAATCACATAGGTACTTGTTAAAAATGCAGATTCACCTGGGTCCTCCCCTAGCCCTACAGAATCAAAATGTCGGTATTTAACAAGTACCCAAGGTAGATGATTCTTATGAACACTAAAATTTTAGAACTTACAGTGACCTTTATGACAATCTACTCCCACGTAGTGAATAATATAGTTTCTCTTCCTTTTGATTTTCTTAATAATATTTAAGTAAGATTTAGCTATTTTATTTTATTTTATTTTATGTTATTTTTAGTAGAGATGGGGTTTCACCATGTTGGCCAGGTTGGTCTTGAACTCCTGACTTCAAGTGATCCCTCTGCCTTAGCCTCCCAAAGTGCTGGGATTACAGGCATGAGCCACAGCGCCCAGCCGAAAGGTATATTAGAATATATTTAAGTAAGATTTAGAAACCTGAAGAGTATTCTGAAAGTGATGCATCCTGGACAAAAATAGAAAACCAAAAATGACATTGGGCTTTAAAAGAGCATAAGGAACCTCACCTTGTTGGAGAGAGGAAACTCCCATTTGAAGTCGGGTGAGATAAAATTGGTTAGGTAGGCTGGAGCAGGTGCATAGAAAGCTTTGGACACCAGCTTCAGGGAGGTTGGCCTTTTTGTTGAAAGATAGTTGGTAGATAAGGAAGAACAAACAATGGTGTTTTAGGAAAACCATCCTGTCCAGTTGTAGAGGGTGACTTAAAAAGAAAATAAACTCAGGGAAACCAATGAACAGGTTACCGCGATAATGCAGGTGTGAGATGGTGAAAGCCTGAACTAGGAAAGTGTTATTTATTGATTACCTGGGTGACAAAATTATCTGTATGCCAACTCGTGCAACATGCAGCTTACTCCTGTAACAAACCTGCACATGTACCCCTTGAACCTAAAATAAAAGTTAGAGGAAAAAAAAAAAAAAAGAAAGTGTTACTGGATATGAAGCAGAGAGGATGAGTGGGAGAAACCACTTACTGAAGAAACAATCAATCAGACATGGTAACTGACTTTTTTTTAAAGGGTATAGGCCAGGTGCTGTGGCTCACGCCTGTAATCCCAGCACTTTGGGAGACTGAGGCGGGCAGATCACTTGAGGTCAGGAGTTCAAGACCAGCCTGGCCAACATGATAAAACCCTATCTCTACAAGAAATACAAAAATTAGCCAGGCTTGGTGGTACGTACCTGTAGTCCCAGCTATGCAGGAGGCTGAGGCACAAGAATCACTTGAGCCCAGGAAGCAGAGGTTGCAGTGAGCCAAGATAATGCCACTGCACTCCAGACTGGGCAACAGAGTGAGACTCCATCTCAAATAAATAAATAGGTATAAAGGGACATGTGTAAAGGAAATAATAATTCTCAGAATCTGAAGTCTACATGGAGGGAAGAAATAATGAGACCAGTGACAGAAATAGGGAAGCTGAGAAAAGGAGCTATTTTTGTGGCAATGTAGTAAGAGGAAGGATGTGGCAGGACATCCAAGTGGAGGCACCTTTTGGGCAGCTGAGTATCACTGATCAGAGATAAAGAACAATAAAGTGAAGACAGATCTTTGACACCAAGGACAATTCATTGAAGAGTTTATAGAATCATTGACTCAAAGACCAAGAATCGAGCTTTAGGAAATACTTAGAGGGAAATGGGATGGCGAGAAACCTGAAAGAAAAGGATAATCATCGGAGAAGTAGGGGGATGACAAAGAAAGAGCAGTGTCATAGAAGGCATAAGGGAAACAAATGTCAAGGAGTGGTCAAATATGTCAAAACGAATAGAAACAGAGAAAATTGGATCCTTAAAGATGAGTAGCCTGGCCTAACCTCCTGTACCTGAGTAACAAACATTCTGGGCAAAATATATTGTGAACCACACTGATGTTCTTTCCCCACAAAACATAAGTGATAGCCTCTCTATCAAGAGACCTAGGTAAGATTTCATAGTGTCTGGTCCTGGGCTGTTTTCCCATGGCCCTGCTGGTTCTCTTCTTCTGTTTCTAGAAAAAGTCTAGAAAATGGAGCTCTCTTTGCTTGCCATTGAACTCATGTCCTGCCAACTCCTACCTAAGTGACAGGCAGGTCAGTAAAGTTTCAGGCTGAAAAATTAAAATTATTTGCCAAACACTAGTTTTATGATTATCTATTAACAACAGCCACAATGAATCAAGAAGGATTCCCAGTGTATTTCAATTAGCCTCTACCTCAAGTGATACATGAGTAGTATGGTTAGAATAGGCATTGCAGAAGTATGAATGGGGAACTGTCTCTTGTTTTCTGTCTATCTTTATTGTTATTGCTGGATATTAAATGCTGTAACTTTTGGCATATGTTTTTTCCAAAGAATGGTCTCTTGGGTCAAGTTTTCCTGAACTTGCCTGGTATTGGGCAAGTTCATACAGAAAATATGAGTCATTTCAAAAAGTCCTGGGCTTGTCTATGTATTTGAAGGAATAGGAAATGGACTTCACTTGGAGCATTATGGATGAGGCTTGGACTTTTACTAACAAAATAAGTTTTAATCTTAACTCCGTTAAACCTTTAAAGACAGAAGACTATCTGGGGATGGATTCAGGCCAGTGAGATCACGTTGCACAAATCTCCTCTTAAGGGATCTTAACTGACCCAGAATTGTTTCAGAATAAGATTCCGAACTGTTGAAGGAGTTTTGAAGCCTTGAAACTTTGTGTAGGTTGGCTTAAAACGAAAAAAAGAATACACTACATTTCCCAGGAGGCTTCGCGGGTGAGCCTCCGCACTCGGCTGGTTCTCTTTACCGCGAGGAAAGCTGGGGAATGTAGTGTTCCAGGCAACCCTGCACGTGACGCTGGCGGAGGAAGGCTAGAGAGAGGCGCGGGACGACGTCTAGGGAATAGAAAGGTACCGGCTGCTCCTTCCTGACAATTTGGTATGTGCTGCAAGGGGAGGGTCCTGATCATCTGGCCCCAGTGGTGTAATGAGCTGACTGGGATTCAGTCACTGACTCGGAGCCGCTCCGGGAAAGTCCTGGTGGGGAGGTTCCGAGGCGCCTGGTCCCGTTTCTCGGCAGTCAGGCCAGGAGGGGGTGGGGAAGGTGCGAACAGCCGGGGGCTCGGAGGTTGCGCCCTGCGCCCCGCGCCCCACCCAGGTTGCGGCCGCCGGGGGAGGAAGCACGTATAGGTTGAGTGCAAAGTTTCCTTTTTTGCTTTCTCGTCAGAGCAGCCCACACAGGCGGTGGGTGGGAATGCCTCACTTCAGTTTGAAGAGGGTCCGGAGCCAAAGGGGTTAAAACAAGCGACTCCCCCACTTCCTGCCTCCCTAAAACGCACGCCCCGCTAGCCATGGGCAGCCGCGACCACCTGTTCAAAGTTCTGGTGGTGGGGGACGCCGCAGTGGGCAAGACGTCGCTGGTGCAGCGATATTCCCAGGACAGCTTCAGCAAACACTACAAGTCCACGGTGGGAGGTGAGACGTCTTTCGGGGGAGGGGGAGGAGGAGGCCTCGACCGCGGACTCGAGCTGGGGACCCAAGTGGGATCCGGATTTGCTGTCGGTTGTTGGATCCTTCTTCGGGTCAGGAAGTACTGTCTGGGAACCCAAGTGGGATCGGGATTTGCTGTCGATTGTTGGGTCCTTCTTCGGGTCAGGAAGTACTGTCTGGGAACCCAAGTGGGATCGGGATTTGCTGTCGATTGTTGGGTCCTTCTTCGGGTCAGGAAGTACTGTCTGGGAACCTAGATGGTGTAATTGCCGGGTGTTTCGTTTACACGCCTCTCTTGAGTTTCCCCCGTTAGATTTTTCCCAACCTGACCCCACTGCCAGGAGAAAGGTAAGAACAAAGGCGTGAAGATGAGAAATAGGGAAGGGAGGATGAGGATAAGCAATTGCTGTTTATTGCAGGCGCACTGTGAACTCAAGTCTCCAGCCTTTCAGCTGTCTGGCATCTCTCCAATCAGCAGAAGCAGCTGAGATCCTCTGGGGGCCTCCTGGTTAGGTGCCGGCTGGGGCTGTAGTTCTGCACCTCTGTTGAGGAAGGAACCGCAAGGTGTTTAACCTGGCTTCAGTGGGAGAACGCAGGAAGCGGAACTGGTCTGAAGGACTCTAGCTTTGGTGTGGGGCTGTGGGTGGGATGGAAGACACAAAATCCCCAAACGAGCCCCTTGGCTACGCAGTCAGATGCCCATGAAGGCTGATGAGCTGTGTTTTTGTCCGTTGATTGCTTAAATAAAAGTAACCAAGGAATTCTCAGAAGAATGTGAAATATACCACTTCTCTGACCTATCTTCCCACCACTTTTTTCCTCAAACTGAAGAAGGTAGGGAGGAAGGGAACACTGAGTTCATTCCTTTCTTTCCCGGGTATGGCCTTTTTACTCAACTATTTTTTCAGAGGTAGAAATGCCTTATTGTTAATTAGAAGGTATTTAGGAAGAGCTGGTGATGGGGGAGAGTAACTTAAAATTTTCTCTCTTAAAAGAACTTGTTTTAAGGGGAGAAAAATGTACCAATGGAAAAAGTGAAAATGTGTGCTCCTGTTCATATGGAAGTTTAAAAAGAAATTAAGCATTCACATTGCAATTAAAACATTCTCCTTAAGAACCCCCAGTAGGGCCCAGTGCAGGGGTTCATACTTGCAATCCCAGCACTTTAGGAGGCTGAGGCAGGAGGATTGCTTGAGCCCAGGAGTTCGAGAGCAGCCATTGGAAACATGGCAAGACCCCACCTCTACAAAAATTAAAGAAAAAAGTAGCCGTGGTTCCAGCTACTCCGGAAACTCAGACTAGAGGATTGCTTGAACTCAGGAGGTCGAGGCTTCAGTAAGCCCCGTTCGCACCACTCACTGCACTGTAGCCTGGGCAACAGAGTGAGACCCTGTCTCAAAAACAAAGGAACAAAACATTTAAGTCTGGCAAAATTAAAGGTTCAAAGTTTCAGACACACTATCCTGACCTCTCTGCCCTTCCACTCCTAAATAATATAAGGGTCCCTATTTCACGGATTTGGGTTAAAATTGGCCTTCTATTAATAGTTAATTTTTAACAATTGCTGTAGTTCTCCTTTAGCAAAGAATATAATTGACTCTGGCTAACTTTTTTTTTCAGTGTTTAGTCTAAATTTCCCTTAGTTTTGATTCCTGTTACAGATGTGAAAGATAATATTTCCAAACCTCAGAAATTACTGTGTTTCTCTCCTTAGCCAAAAGCTTTTCCCCATGGAATACTTAGCCTTAAGGAGTCTCAGCATCTGCAGACTTTGTGGTAGATTCCAGCAGGACTCTTCAGCAACATCCACACAGTGTCTTCTTGGGACTCCTCTGGGACCTTTTCCATTTATTCCATTCTTGCCCAAGATAATACCTGCAACCTTATGGTGGATGTAGAGTTCCCCAGGGTGTGTTGTTTTCATAATACAATTTGATTAGAAACCAGCAGTGAAATTGAATGTGGAAGATACAGAAACAACCACACTTGTCTCATTTCCCCCTTCTCCCCCATCACCCCTTCCCTGAGAAAACCCCCTAAATCTCCCAGAAACTGTTTAACCTGAGAATGAGAGTTGTTTTCATAGTTACTCCCACCCCCAGTCTTGGAGACAAGTAGTAGCAAACAGATGAGCTTGACAGGAGACTAAAGCTGGAAACCCCTTTGGAGAGTGAGTATGAACCATCCATCTCACACTTAATACACACGTGTGGACTCATCTCAGTGAATTGAGGGCTTAAAGATAAACATGGGATTCGAGTTGTGTGTCCATCGGATTGTCACTGCCTATTTGATTTGAGTTTATCCCTATTCATTTTTTACAGTGAAATTTTATTAAGGTATAATGTACATATATTTTCAGTGGATTTTGCTCTGAAGGTTCTCCAGTGGTCTGACTCCGAGATAGTGCGACTTCAGCTGTGGGATATTGCAGGTAAAGTGGGAGGGCTGGATAGGAACGAGGGAAGAAATTTTGATTTAACCAGGAAACTCTGAGAAAAAAAAAATGGGGCAGCAAAGCCAGAAATTTTTTTTCTGAAGCTGGAATGATTGAGCTGCTCTGAGGACACATGAGCTGAATAGGTGCAGAGCTTTTGTAGATGTTTTGCCCTGAATAGATCTAGAGCAGTCTCTATGTGGATGGAGGGGCTGGCAAGGTGGTGGATTGTCCAGACTATAGTGCATACTCCCACAGCAGGGGCGGGTACTTTTTCTAGGTTTAAGGCTGACCTTGGTGAAAAACAAAATCCCCAGAAAATAGATACAGTAAAAATAGTGAATCCTTATTATGTGCCAAGCATTCTTCTAAGCATTTTAAATTCACTGACTCGTTAATCCTCACACCAACCCTATCATAAAAGCTACTGCTTTTGGAGATTCACCTGAACCTGGGAGGCGAAGGTTGCAGTGAGCCTAGATGGCACCATTGCACTCCAGTCTGGGCAACAGGAGTGAAACTCTTTTAAAAAAAAGTTACTGCTTTTATCTTTACTTTAGAAATGAGAAATCTGAAGCACTGAGAGCTTAATTTGCCCGAAGTCAAATAGTATGCAGCAGAGCAGGGATATGGACTGGAGCAATCAGGGTGTGGAATCTGCCTTGGAAATAATCAGGCTTCATTATCCCTTTACGGGATAGATAGAAAACCAAGAGTCAGAGGGGGAAAGTGAGTGACTCCCTCTGCCACATATGCTTACTGCCCCCCTCCACAAGGAATGGGGAGAGGCTGAGGTGTTAGAGAGGATGCGGAGGCTGGCTCTTGGGTCACCTTGAGAACTCTCCCTTTTCTCCCCAGGGCAGGAGCGCTTCACCTCTATGACACGACTGTATTATCGGGATGCCTCTGCCTGTGTTATTATGTTTGACGTTACCAATGCCACTACCTTCAGCAACAGCCAGAGGTGGAAACAGGACCTAGACAGCAAGCTCACACTACCCAATGGAGAGCTGGTGCCCTGCCTGCTCTTGGCCAACAAGGTATGTGGCCAATCTCAGAAAATGGTCCCTAGCCTGCCGGGCACCGTGGCTCACACCTGTAATCCCAGCACTTTGGGAGGCCGAGGTGGGTGGATCGCAAGGTCAGGAGATTGAGATCATCCTGGCTAACATGGTGAAACCCCGTCTCTACTAAAAATACACAAATTTAGCTGGGCGTTGTGGCGGGCACCTGTAGTCCCAGCTACTCGGGAGGCTGAGGCAGGAGAATGGCGTGAAACTAGGAGGCGGAGCTTGCACTGAGCCGAGATCGTGCCACTGCACTCCAGCCTGGGTGACAGTGCGAGACTGTCTCAAAAAAAAAAAGAAAATGATCCCTAGCGTCTGTCTGTGGTTAGAAAGGAAGTAAAGTCTCTGATTCTGGGCATCAATTTCCCCTTCTTAAGTTGACACAATCATCTCTACCTCCTTTCAAAGGATGTTGAGGGTGAGACTTTCTTTTTTTTTTTTTTTCCCCCGAGACGGCGTCTCACTCTGTTGTCCAGGCTGGAGTGCAGTGGTGCGATCTCGGCTCACTGCGAGCTCCGCCTCCCGGGTTTACGCCATTCTGCTGCCTCAGCCACCCGAGTAGCTGGGACTACAGGTGCCCGCCACCACACCTGGCTAATTTTTTGCATTTTTAGTAGAGACGGGATTTCATTGTGGTAGCCAGGATGGTCTCAATCTCCTGACCTCGTGATCTGCCCGCCTCAGCCTCCCAAAGTGCTGCGATTACAGGCGTGAGCCACTGCGCCCGGCCAAGGGTGAGACTTTCTTTGGGAAGAATGTCGACTGTAGATTTCCGATGCTGGTGTTCTTATCCATTGGTGGAAAAATATTTAAAATCCACAGTATCTGAGCCATATTCTTATTCCCAGGAAGTTTATGATATTGCCTTTTATTTTTTCTCTTTGCCAGTGTGATCTGTCCCCTTGGGCAGTGAGCCGGGACCAGATTGACCGTTTCAGTAAAGAGAATGGTTTCACAGGTTGGACAGAAACATCAGTCAAGGAGAACAAAAATATTAATGAGGCTATGAGGTAAGTAGCTCATGCTGATAGGCATGCAGAGGTATCCATCTTCCACCGTGGCCCTGTGTACCCTCTTTTCTTGTTTCTGAGCCAACAGTGACAGACTGAGCCGCTGGAATGCCAGCCCCTAAAGGTCAGGGATACTGTCTTCTCTCCTGAGATAACTGGGGACAAAGGGGCGTTTAAACCTTCTGGCTTTACCAAATAGTCTCTGATGATAAACCAGACTACATCTGCCATTTCTGCTTTTCCTCCAAAATAAGCTTCTCAGGCTTATTTTTTGTTTTTTAGAGTCCTCATTGAAAAGATGATGAGAAATTCCAGAGAAGATATCATGTCTTTGTCCACCCAAGGGGACTACATCAATCTACAAACCAAGTCCTCCAGCTGGTCCTGCTGCTAGTAGTGTTTGGCTTGTTTTCCATCCCAGTTGTGGGAGGTCTTTTAAGTCTCTTCCCTTTGGTTTTCCACCTGACAGTTTTAAGTACATTTGAATTGTCTCCTGACTACTGTCCAGTAAGGAGGCCCATTGTCACTTAGAAAAGACACCTGGGACCTGTGTGCATTTCTGCATCTCCTGGATTAGCCTTTGACGTGTTGCTGGCTCATGTTAGTGCCAGTTAGTGCCTTCTGTGTAAGATCATCTCATCAGCCCTCGATTTGTGATTCGGAATTTTGTGAGAAGGATTAGAAATCAGCACCTGCATTCTAGAGATGATTCTCACCTACTTTTGAGCTTATTTTTCCATTTGATATTCATTGATATCATGACCTCCAATTGAGAGGAAAATGAGATCAAATGTCATTCCCCAAATTTCTTGTGGGCCATTGTTTCAGATTCTTTCTGTCTTGGAATGTAAACATCTGATTCTGGAATGCAGAAGGAGGGGGTCTGGACATCTACGGATTTTTGGCTATTAGAAGTGACCCAGAAGTCACTGTATTTTTGAAACTTCTAAAGTCATAATTAAGTTTCTCTTGTCTTGGCATCAAGAATAGTCAAGTTTTTTGGCTGGACATGGTGGCTCATGCCTGTAATGCTAGCATTTGGGGAGGCCAAGACAGACAGATCACTTGAGGCCAGGAGTTCGAGACCAGCCTGGCCAGCATGGCAAAACCCCATCTCTACTAAAAGTACAAAAATTAGCTGGGCATGATGGCACGTGTCTGTAATCCCTGTAGCTACTCTGGAGACTGAGGTGGGAGAATCGTTTGAGACTGGGAGACAGAGGTTGCAGTGAACCGAGATCATGCCACTGCACTTCAGCCTGGGTGACAGAGCAAGACTCCATCTCAAAAAAAAAAAAGAAAGTCGTTTTTAAACTACCTATTTCATGCAATGAGAGCATTTTCTTCCACAAAGAGCTTAATCCTCATGATAGGGTTGTCTAGTGTCTCCGATTTGCAGGTTTCTGGGTTGATGTCTTAATGCATAATACTGCAAATGGCATCAGTTGGCTGTGATGCTTCGAAATAGGTCTGCTCCTCACAGCTTTGGGAATCTAAATGGAAGAAGAAAAGGGAGAAGTTAACAGCCTCCACTGGGGCAAGTTTGTGAGCACATAGGCACTTAGTCATAGGAAACATATTACATGCAGGCCCTAGCCTGGGGGAGGAAAGTGGATAGACAGAAAATCATTAGATAATTTAAGTACTAAATTGGGCAGGACTTTTTAGTATCAAATCACTACTAGACTGTTTAATTTGTTAAATTCTGTCTAGGATGGTGGCTTATAACCTAACCAAAGTTATCGATATTCTTGGTAAACTCAGAGGCCTGAAGTTCTTTGATAGACCTGAAATAAGTGTGCTAAGTCAGTGGTTCCCAAGTCTGGCTGATCAGGAATACCTGGGAAGTTTGTTAAAATTTTTTTAAATGTTTTAAGATTTTTGGGTCCTGAGCCACATGTGGCAGCTCACGCCTGTAATCCCAGCACTTTGGGAGGCTGAGGCAGGCGGATTGCCTGAGGTCAGGAGTTCAAGACCAACCTGGCCAACATACTGAAACCCCATCTCTACTAAAAATGCAAAAAATTAGCTGGGCCTGGTGGCGGGCGCCTGTAATCCCAGCTACTTGGGTGGCTGAGGCAGGAGAATTGCTTGCACCCGGGAGGTAGAGGTTGCAGTGAGCTGAGATTGCACCATTACACTCCAGCCTGGGCAACAAGAGTGAAACTCCATCTCAAAAAGGAGCAAAAAAAAAAAAAAAAAAAAAGAAAGATTTTGGTCCCAACCTGCAACCTACTGAATCATTATATTTGGTAGGTAATATTGTAAGCCTAGGGATGTGTTTGTCTAATAATGTCTCTCTCTCTTTTGTGTGTGTTGTATTTAGTCTTCTCTTTGTAATTATAAACTCTCCTTCATTTCCTGGGGAGAACTTTGGTATATTGTATACAGAGACCAGGCCTTTTGTGTGTGTACATTTAAGAGTACAAATCTGGGTTAGTCTATATGTTCTGTTAGCTTGTTCGGTGAGATCTGCCTACAGGGACGCTGAAAACCACTGCCCTAAGGGATGATCAGAGGCCACATATCAGGAGACAGAAAAGGGGCAAACCTTTGGTGGTTTGTTGTGCTGTTTTTTTG